TAACGTTTTGACTATTTGGAAATGAATGAAGTGTAACGTGCCGGAGTTTACGTAGGTTCCACAGCAAAGGCCCTTGTTCGCTCGACCCTCGTTTATTAACTAAAAAGAGGTGAAAATAGGCGCAAATAAACATAAATTACACTCCATATCATGGCAACTGCAGTGGGCGTGTCTACGGACTCAGTTGTGAGCGCGGCTGAAATTTTGCCTAAAGGGCTAAAACAGGCCAGGCTAAAACAGCCTAAGCAGGCATGTAGATAACGTGTGTATGAGAGAGGGCTCAGACGGCATGAGAAGACGTTGGCGCGGCTGCTCGTGAGAGTGTGGCATGCGCTCCGCGCTCAGAACCAAACCCATGAAAATGCCCCCCCCCCTCAAGATCCGATGCTATGGACTGTAACTAATGCTCACCGGCACGGGATCAGCTCGCTTTGCCAGTACTTCCTCAACAGAGATACTGCACTCGCCAATATAGTGATGCCTGAAGTAAAGGAGATTGAAAAGCAAACTCGGCTGCAGCCGTTATCACTGAGATCAGTTGAAACGTGTGAGCGAGGCATGGGTTTGAGGTTGACGCCAACCCACCCTCCGTCGACCGTTGCGGCTATGGGCTTCACGAGTGGTGGAAAGGAGCTGGCGGAGCGCCAAAGCCCGTGCCCTGCTGACACGCCTTTGACTAACTTCTGTGATAACGACTGTATTACAGTGAATTTACCTGCCGCTGAAATCGTGATCCCAGCACTCGATGACGAATTGCCTGGAATCGATGGGATCAATACCGGTTTACTCTTTTCTTTTCAGACTTTTCTTTTTACCCTTTCTTTACCGTCTTTCTTGTTTCAGTCAATCTTTTCGCCTGTCCTCTATTTCTAACTTAATCAGCATTTCTCTTAACTGTGCAGTATGTTCAGTGAGACCCTGACAGATGAAATGCGCCGTTTTCAAGACCCCCCCCCCGTTATCCAAATTTTGCCATTCATGCACGTCAGCGAAGTGAAAGAATGTGGGCTCCAAGAACGTTTCTCAACCCCTCTGCATTGGTCATGGTGGTGGAGTCACTTGAACTCTCAGGCACCGTTCAGACTTCGCGACGGCAGCGCTTCGGTCGCGCGATCGACGCAATCGCGCATGCTTTCGGCTACATCGATCGCGACCGAAGCGCTGCCGTCGCGAAGTCTGAACGCTGTTTCACGCCTTTTTTATGGGGAGGCTCCGCCTCTTTGTCGCCTTTAAACGAAGGGTCCATAAAAAAGAATAGAGTAGTTACTCAGGTGACAGGCTAGATATCCCATGCGGGTCCACAATAATGATAATAATGAGAATAAGAATCAGTAGCGCTTTGAGCACAGAACTTACCTTTTCTTATCACCTCCGCAAAGGGCTTGCATTCCAACGCGGAACACTTTCCAGACCGGGCTAACAGTACGCTTGACATGCTCACTTTGATAGGCAAGTTGACGGCTGAAAGGCATGTGATCACGAATTGGTGGCGGTTACTTTTCCCTTTTTCTGAACAATTTTTTTGTAATCTATGCAAATGACAGCAGTGAGTGGCAACCGCATAACAGGCTGAGTCGCGAAATGAATTTAAAATCATATCTTCGAACCAGACCACAGGTCAATCAAGCCTTTTGGGACCGTCCGGCTCAGAGGGAACATTTTGAACTTTCCCTTGCTTCTTTTGCTAGTTCTCGTTAAATTAAATGTCTCAAAGTGATGAGACCGGTAAACTCTTGTGAAATGTAAACGAATCTCGTCCATCGGGGAGACGGGCAAGAGAATCGTAATTTGCCGCTCCGCCGCGCGCGGCGATGGGCGCGGCGTTTTCTTAACTCGTGTTAACCTGTCGATTGGAGCACCGGACTTCATGTACCCCGTCATCGTAGACATTCATGACTATTTTCGGTTCTGAATTGCCTGTTGTCGCCATCTACTACCTGGAACCATCGTCATTTGCGGTGCGACGTCGCACGCGACGCCCACAGCGCGGTGAATTACGATTCTCTTGTCACATACCACGTCTATCGAGCCGAACTGCGGCAGCCTTTTTCTTCTTAATGCTTGTCTTGAAACCATTTGGATCGGTTGACTGGTGTCATACAGGGGGGGGGGTAGAGACCTGCTAGCTGGCTATCGAGATGTGTGCAATGGCGGTACGACTTCCGAAATTTGCTCCTCTGGTATGACCATTTCCCTTTCCTCATCCTGCCTACATTTCCTTTCCTCCACCCCTTTTCCGTGAGGGGGGAGGGGAGGGAGGGGTTGGGTCTAGTATGGCGTATATAACGAAAAAAAAACGGGAAAGTCATCCTGCATCGGAAAAATTCCTTTTAAAGCCAGATAGGACCTCCTCTGTAGCGACTAAGTATACTCTTTATCCCTGAGACGGGGTAGGCGTGGCATTCGAACATGGCACGGAACTGGTTACTCGTGGGATATTTAAATTTCAGACAACCGCCATCTTGTTCTTTGTTGGAAAAAGACGTGACCACATTTGGGTCAAAATAATAAAAATTGTCTCTCCAAGAGCACAGCCCACCACGGCGTTTAGTCGAAGTACGCAGCCACGCCTACCTCATCTCAGGGATTTCGAGTGTACAACTACTTGATGGGGTTCTCCAAAAGGTGCTGTAACTGGAGAGAGAGAGTCGAATCCCACTGATCTCTTCCAAGCCTAGCACAAGCCTTCCATCCGCATCGTAGGTTGAGCAAGTAGTTACTGAGACAAATGGAGTGGACTTATCGACACTCAAACTTGTACTATCGATTCACGGGTACAAGCCGTCGTGCATTGAAATGGTCGGTTGTCAGGTGCGATCAACCCACTTGCAAAGGAGAGTCTCAGTAAGGACCCCCACACCCTTTCACTTCGGACCTAAACGACCGTCAACCCGCACCACTTTCTTACACAGTTCCCACCTCCCACCTTTTTTTTTTCCGAAAGTTTCCCACACTTCCAGTGTTCGTACCGCGGAAAATGTTCTCATGGAAGTGGTTGAGGTGGATGTGGGAGGGGGGGGAATGGGAAGGGGAAGGTCGTCAGGACCGCAAGTATCGACGTTTCAGACTATCAGAAATAGTAGTTATATAGGAGAATTTGTCCCAACGCGAGCAAATTTTCTCCATCAAACGACGCACGACCGCCGCTTTCTCCACAACAACAACCAAATAGGACCCTTTCCCAGCGGCCAGAGCTACGTCCTCCACGCCCCGCCCCCCCCCTCCACCCACGTGTTACGATCACAACGATGCTGACCTCTGCCGCGGATTCCATCCACTAGCATAAGCCGAAGCAGAGCGTTTCGGTACACCAACAAATAGATGCTGGGTGAAAATTGCGTAGGCGGATTTGATCTTTCGCAAGTGTTTTATTCTTTATCCATATTTCATACTATTTTATCACCTCAGTAACATACCCATGATCATCCAGGATCCTGTAGATCTTCAAAAATGGATCCGTAGGGCAGATAAAATGCCTTCGATCGAGTTTGTGAGCCCTAATATGGAACTCAGCATCGCCTCCGCAATCCGCATCCACTTCCTCTGCAGTTACTGTGATCGAGCCGCAATTTCCAGGAAGTCCTCTTAAGATGTGCATTTTATTTCTTGTTTATGTCTTCAAATATCGTCGCAGTTAGTCTAAGTCAGGGGATGCCATCGCGTTGTGATAAATTCCTGCAGAATACGCCCCCCTCCCCATTCCACTTACCACTTTTCTCTAGATTTTTTCCAGCTTCGCTACTATTCGCGGATTTTTCCGACTTCCTACCGCCTTTTCCGTTTTTTTTCCGGCATTTCTCGAAAAATTTCTGGTCCCCCCCCCAAGATTTTTCTGCCAACAATAAGGAAGTTTTTTCACAATTCCTCTCGAAGGTAAATACGACCCCCCTCCCACCAACGAGCAAATGCGACCTCCCCCTCCTCCCCTTTATAGCGTCTGTGAAACAATTAACTGTCGAAAAAACTCTTTTCTTTTCTCTGCGACCAAATACGACCCCCCTCGCGGTAAATACGACCCCCATTGTGATTATTACTACGATGGCGTGCCCTGGTCTGGGCGCCGTTAGGAGGGCGGTATTTGAGCCGTCCGACTGGCCGACCTACCCGCTGCTATATACGGCAGCGTTCAGACTTCGCGACGGAAGCGGCGCTTCGTCGAGCAGCCTTCAACGTCAATCGATGCGCCGAGGTCGAAAGCTATGCGCAATCGACGCGTCAACGCGCGACCGAAGCGCTGGCCGGCGGCAAGTCTGAACGCTGCCTGAGTGGACTGCGTTTATGCGTTCGATTCAGGAAAACATAACAAACATCGCGTAAAAAGCGCTGCGGGCTGGCTCATTACCAACATCTTCACGACGCGCCACATCTGACTGCGACGGTATTAACTTGCTAGGTAGTATTACTATATAAGGTACTTGTAAGAAAATCTCTTTCACTGAGAATTCGCGAAAATAGTCAAAGTATTGCTCTCCGGTTAAACGATACTCTAGCTTCTTTTGTAAACGTCCGCACTACTAACCAATTCAGCCAGAATAGAATTCCAATAAACGACCCGAGATAACTCGTGTTTTCCCATTATTGCTAGTGGAAACTGTCCACGTCGTATCTGTTAAAGTACACAATTGTATTTCACTGCAAGAACGCCACGGGGCCGCGTGTCATCGGCAATGGATTTGGCGGGCGGCAAACGTCAGCCTTCTATTGTTGTCACTTGTCTCCGTCAACAACTGATGGGGAACATAATGACGGCGCGCCCAAATCCATGCCCTGTCTTTAAGCCTAGCCCTCCGGCTTTTCGCTTCTCAGATGACAAGTTTCTGATCGTCCTGACCTTTCAACCCCTGGTGTATGCCCTTTTCGATGAATATCTACATTTTTCGGGGATATAACTGGTGGCTGTGATTATTTCACCCGGTATTCTTCAGAAAGCATTTCGAATGTGAATATTGAGGCCCGAGTTGTAGGAATAGCGCACGTGGTGAAGCGATAACTGGCGCCGCTATAACAGAAATGGTTTTTTGGAATGCATTCCGGGCCGAGCATTACTCTGCCAGCTGGGCACGTCCTGCCGTCGGCGATAACTTCTGCAAAATACGACCTTCGTCCTCTAAATTCCGTCCTCAAGTACCACCCGTTCCCTTTCCATCCCTCATCCTACCTAACATCTTCCCAATAATAAGATCTCTATGCTCCCTAGTACTTCTGTCGAGCCTTTATTCAATTTTCTTTCAAAAACCATTGAGTGGGAGGAGGGGGAAGAAGGATATGACGTTCACTTGAAACAGGGAAAACCGAGGAAAGTCAACAACTAGAAACATTTTCAGAGGTTAAATAGTACGACCCCCTCACTCCAGCGACGAAATACAAGCCCACTCGCTGGGAGCAAGGTACAGCATCGTTGTGAAAAACCCATAGGGGGTCGTAGTTTTCCGCTGGGAAGGGGGGGTCGTATTTGGTCGTTGGGAGAGAGAGAGGAGGGTCGTATGTGCGTTCGAGAGAAATTTGCTGCGTTGGGAAAAAATTTTCCCGGTTGTTGACTTTTCGCGTGATTTTGCCTGTTTCATGTGTACTACATACATGTGTACTATACACCCCCACCCCCGCTCGACAGCAAAATTTTTGGGGAAAAGTAGGAAATTTTCGGGAAATTTCGGAAAAAGTGGTAGGAAGTTGGGGAAAATCTGAGAAATTTTCCCGCTTCACATTGGCTATATATGCCCCTCCCCTCCCGCTGAAATGATGGTGTCAGTATGACCCCCCTCCCCTCCCACAGAATTGGTAGGTAGGTGCTGGGGAAGAGTAGGGGGTGGTCGTACCGAGACCCTCATTTAGGTGGGGGGGGTCGTACTGACACCCTCTCTCGAGGGGGGTCGTACCTACACCACCATTTCACACATCACGATGCTGTACCCTGGCTGAGAGCTGGGAGCTCCAGCGAGTGCATTTCCACAAGTCTACCCGCTTTTCTCGGAAATCGCCGAAGTGATGGGTTCCCAAGCTCATTTGCAATCTTCAAAGCACGAGGATATTACTTGCTGCAGGCGGATCGATCAACCCTGAGCTATTATTTACCCTGGTTGATTAACTGCATGCAGTTCAACCCGACATAACTCACATCTCGAATTTCATTTTTTGCCGCTCCTCGAAGAAATAATCGCATGGAATTTTTCGCGCAAATTCCGGATCTAAGCTATTCCATACGACTTCCGTATGACCGAGCCTCTTCCATTTTTCTTTGCCTAAATATGGTGATTGTTCAGTCTTCATTTATAATTGCTGTGAAAGCTAACAACGAAAAGGATGGATTACTGGGCGATGAGGGGTCAAAAAATTACCGTTCGGTAGTTGAGTAAGCTGAGAAACCGTGCAAAGTGGATCACTTCTTGAGAGAACATCGCGATCTTTCAATCCACTGAAACATGGAGTAGTTTGAATTCCATTAGTAGTAGATGTTTAGTAAACCACAGTAATAAAAAGCTAGTCTGCTAGCCTAATAAGTTATCGCGTCCATATTGAAGGACGTAAGGAATCAATCCAGCGACGTCTGTATATCTCTGTGCCAACTCTCTAATCTTACACATGCGTGTCTGTCTTTTTCGCCTAGCCCTACGCTATTTTCGCAGCCACGCCTCGTCTTACTCTCAGATACGGAAAGCACGTATGAGAATGTGCCACATCTCATCAGTGGTGTTCGACGTTGGAGCCAGCGCCAAGAATGAGTGTCATATTCGTGAACAGGATGCCAACTAAGATCAGTACCGATTTTGGTGAGATAAGTAATGACGCCAAATGGCGTTGGCCTCAAAGGCAGATGACACCATAATTTGTTACTCGGCCTAAAATGCCAACAAGGCGCTATACAGAGAAAACAGCAAAAAAAAAAACGAAGTGGAACGGTCAAAAACTTGCGAAGGAAAGCCTTTTTCTTAATGACTCAAAAAGCAATTTCGGACGAGTTTTCCGTGGGTCTTGCCAAGAACCGCTACAAAAGGTGCGGCTGCACGTATGTACTCGTATACACTGCTCCACATAATGATAATTCCACCCATAAATATTACAAAATCTCCAACTTACATGAGGTTTTCAAAAAAGTCCTCAAATAGAAAATGAGGTAACAATCAATACCAGTTTGCATGTCAACACCGGAAACTAACTTGAAAGAACAAGTTTTTTTGTTCATTTTTTTGAAAATTGGTACTCTGACAATTCCACAAAATGATAGTTCCACCTCATGTTTTTGTCGCTGCGTCTTTTTTGTTGGGTAAAACTGTCTCATCATTGTGACTTTGCCTTTTCTAGGCTATGGCAAGAGGACATTCATTATCGGATTTTGAAAAGGACAGATAATCGCAAAGAAGACTCAAGGACTGTCGAACCGTCAAATCGCACGGGATTTGGGCCGCAGTCATCATGTGATCAACAATTTTGTCAAGCAACCTGCAGGATATGGAGTTGAGAAGGGGACCCGGGCGATTCTATCGTCGGCAAGTCAGGCGACGCCGCACACGCCGCGCCGCGTCGCTGCGCGGCACGCCGCGACGCGGCAATCCCGGAGTTGCATTACCGTACTCCCGAGTTGTCATTGGAGCAACGGCCACAGCAAGCTGTGCCTCTTTCAAATTGTTAAAGGGATCGTCGACCCTTTAACAATTTGAACGCCACGCAACAAAACTCGTACGCGGCGGCCGCCACGCCGCCTCGCTCCGCCCACCGGCGCGACGACCCGACGATAGAATCACCACACACCCGTTGAGAAGAGCTCTGGGCGTCCTCCTTTGCTCTCTGATCGGGATAAGCGCCGTATTTTGAGAGAAGCATCCAATTCTCCAATGTCGTGCCGGGAAATAAAGTCAACTTTGAGGCTTAATGTCTCGAGGGAGACTGTTCGGCGTATCTTGAAAAACTCCTGAGTTCACCTACAGGAGGAATATGAGCCAGGCACTGTTTCTAACAAAAAACTATCGCGAAAACCTAATTGGCTTTGCTGGAAGATGTTGCCGAATCAATTTTAGTAAGGTTAGTTTTTGGATGAGCGTGATTCACTCGTCACCAAACCGCCTTTTGTCCTGGTCAGCGAGTAGCCCCGACTTAAACCCAGTTGGGAATGTGTGGGGCTTCATGGTGCGCAAGATCTATGCGAATAATGCACGATGTCCATGAGCTTAAGAAGTCAATCATTGATGCTTGGCAGCATGTCGAGTGAAAACTTTTAAAATCTCTATTCGAGCATAGACAACCGCATTTTCCATTTTATTCGAAGAAATGGCGTTCCAATAGATTACTGAATTAACAATTCATTCGTTTTGTTGTGCACTTGTTGTTGGATGATAGATTTGTTTGGTGGAACTATCATTTTGTGGAATTGTCAGAGTACCAATTTTCAAAAAAATGAACAAAAAAAAACTTGTTCTTTCAAGTTAGTTTCCGGTGTTGACATGCAAAGTGGTGAAAATTGGGTGGCGCTGGCGCTCAAAACGCATGTCATTCCTGGGATAATCCTACAGCCAAAGCTTTAGTGACTTTTTTGAGATTTCTGGGTGGTCACTGTTGACGAGTGTCGACAGGGAAAGAGGATTGACAACAAAAAAATCAAACGCA